TAGATAGATAGATAGATAGATAGATAGATAGATAGATAGATTAGATAATAGATAGATAGATAGATAGATTAGATAATAGATAGATAGATAGATATACTTAGATACTTAGGTAGATACACAATCATTTAATAATAAAAGTTGTGGTCATTAATATATGTATGTATAATATATCTTTTCGGTGATATTGATATTGGTGCTAGATCGTGTTCTTACATTCACGTTGCGTTGTATTTATTCTCTGTAAGTACTGTTTTGCAACGCTAATTTCCGTGGCTCAATTCTTGTGAAGTCCAGATGAGACACTTTCAAACGTAGTTTTGTGTACTATCAATTGGATGTATACTTCGTCGTTATCAGACAGACCGATTTCTTTCATTTGATATTGATGCAAGTTCGTTACTATCCCATCCCACGCAATTATTTTCGCTCTGCATTTCATCTCTGACCCGGGATTACTAGAGAGTATGTGATACTTTCGCGTTTTCTCGATTTCGACTGCAGTCAGTCTATCTGTCTTGCCTAGTGATGCCAAATGTTAAGCTCTATCAGAAGTACTACATCTTCATGTCGCTTCCTGTCGTGCGTGAAACATGATATCCGGTTGATCTGTACTTTATAGCTGTTGTTTTAATGAGCATATTGACTCTTATCTCTATGTTCTCATTGGCGACCATTTCCTAAACGGAGTAACTTCGCATGCATAGAATGAGTGCCTTTCAGCTCTTACTTATTAAAAATATGCTTATTACAGAGGCACAGGTAGATGGATGAATCGTAGCACTTCTAATATAGTCACTATAAAGCATTTTCTCACACTGCGATTCCAGATGATCCGCCTACTTCACGCGCTTTCTAAAATATGAGCACGTACTCTCTTCTTCTTCGAACATACTTCTATCTTGGAAGTGAAATTATCGCTTCTCGTACCGTAGCATCATGTCTTCGTGTCGGAGCCAGATTGATGAATAGGCCATTTTGGATAGCTCATTTTCCGCACCCGTATACCTCTACATGTAAAGTTTCGTCTTCTCTCTCGCTATACAAGATCGCGAGCTTCTGATAACCTGATAGGTTTTGGCGATTGCATTGTCTGCGAGGTTGTATTTAGTTTGAAGATAGAGAACAGTAATTGCCAAATGTATTTTATGAGCCTCCTGCTTGAAAATCGCCACCCTGTAGATGGATATAGGCGCGGTTTCTATAAGTATATTGTGAAGCTAGAGAAGAACGTGCCCATTTGTGGTTTTGATTCTACAAAGCCTACTCCTTGCTCGTTCTTCTTCAGGCACAGGCTATCATGAAGGTTCACTGTGAATTCCGTATTTATCTAGTAACTGCCTAATATCTCAGAATATTTTCTAGGAATTTATTATACTTTTCTTGGGTCTTGGGTATATACTGTACATATGTACTTTTTTCCAACATGAATAGCTATGACAATTCTTGAGCTAATGCGTACAATTAAGCTCAAATTTGCGCAGCGCATCTATCGGAATGAAAAAACCAAGTTAGCCATTGAAAAACTAGTTCGGACTTTTGCTCGGTTCAATCCACTGCGATTAAAGCGGTTTCCACCAAAAAATATCTACTTTGTAAAAATCGAGGCTGTTGAACAACAATCTCTGCTTTACTCAGAACGACTCAATCGAAGGTAGCGATGTGGCAGAGACATAATTAGCTGATGATTCACGCTTACCAGGAAATCTACATATATTTGTATTTGAATCTTTATGTTTTCTAAGAAATATGGGGTTTGTGCCCTTTAAATGTTGACGGAAGTGTAAATGCACAAACGTGATTTTAGCCTCAGTTTCATCCAGAATGATCCATTGCGCAGCATAAATTAATAGCTTATCATTGTCTGGTGCATATTTTGAATGACTAAGTTATTGTTTGCTTTTAGATATTGGTGCATTGATTTACGTTCCTTCTCCTTCCCCTTGCTCTCACACATTATCACCCTTGTTTGATGGTTTGATGGAATTGAACGATTGACCAGCAAGTTAGCGACAAGGTCACCTAACTTGGAATCTGCATGAACTTTATTTTACATTGAGTGACTTTTTCATTTTGCATTTTCTCATGAAAAACGTTGACATTTAGCATATGATTTGCTGATTAAATCAGTTTTGATTATTATGAATGCATGCACACAGCGAATACCGTGCATTCAGATTGCTTTAGGAATAATTTCTTTTTCACCTAATAACAGTAGAAGTACAGAGTTATCTGCAATTTTTTCTTTTGCATCTTTCAGATGGTGAAAATGTGGAATGACGATTCACGGCTTATTTTAATTGAGGAAATCCGGAAGCGTCGAGAAGTATGGGAATATAAAAAGGTCAAATTTGAGGAAATAAAATTATAAAAAATTAAGCTTTGTTTTGCTTCAAGCTCTTCTGCTCGTTTTTTTTGTTACATAGTGAAGAGTTTGCTTTGCTGTATTTCATATATCTAAAATTTTGTATTAATGAGCGTGACATATTTCCAGTTGTTAGAATTTATAAAAAAATATGGGATTTAAAAATCATATTTTTAAGCAAGAGGATAAGTGCATTTTAATTTCGGTCATTAAAACATTTCAATCTATTATTTCATTCGCTTTGTTAAGGAAATGAAAAATATTGAATGCAAATATGCTGCAGTCATTTATTTAATTATTATTTATTTTCGTCACATTTGATTCACGAAATGTAGAATAAATGAAAAGGTATCATCTCATTTTGTTTGAATATTTGAATTCTCTGCGACAGTACTGTTGAAAAGATTATGTGAAGATATCAAGTACCGAAGCGTTTTTTCGTGGAGTTTAAAAAATAGTTAATTGTAAAATACTTATTTGTTCCTCGGTTTACAGAAATACTGAAATTGTAGGAGCGTTATGCAACCTCAGAAAGGAAGAAAGAACTGTTTGCAGAGGTTGCAGTTGCACTTAATTCTTCAAGCTTGCCAACAGCAGGTTTATACACAGGTCTGTGATATTTATTTTCTTTCTTATAACCGTTTGTTTTCAGCATTAGAGTATTTTAAAATACATCAGATATCAAAATTTGTTATAATAATAAACGTTATATATGTTTTTTTACTTTTCAGGCATATATTATAGATATAAACTTCAGCTTCAGTGTAATCGTTTTTACCAAATTCATTGTTTTAGAAGATGATGTTCGTACGCAGTGGAAAAATTTGAAAGACACATTTAAAAGGAAACTTAAAAGACGACAAGCAGAAACAAATGCAGGTTATGAGGATGTAGAACCAACATGGCGATTTTGGAATAAAATGCAATTCGTGAAAAATAACTTCGGTCCAGATCGGAATCGATCATCAGCACTGAATAAGTAGTATATGCTTTTTGCAAAAATAATATAGTTTAAGTATAAATTCATAGTAATATTGTAAGGGCATGTTTTTTATTCTTTCCATCGTAGAAAGAGGTGCTTCTTATGTTCGTAACAAAAATTTGTAGTTCATCTCTGATTGATAATGTACCTAATACACTGGAGAGATTGATCAGTACTCTCGTCGAAAAACAAATGTCCGATGATAGCAACAACAGTGTGGAGTATGGCTTAGTATTCTCATTTGAATTATTGCTTTAGTATTTTAGTTTTTCTGTATTAAACAAATAAGATCGAACTTTAAGATCTACTCTATCTTTGCTTAAAAAGGTGAAGGAGAAAACTGATTCTTGGAGATATCTAATCAGTAATTTTGTATTAGATTGTATCTTTTTACTTAATGACTACAGGTATTTTCTCGTCAAGAACTTGTGATTATAACTATTTCAACCTGGTCATCATGTATTCAGTAGTGTATTTTTGCAGTGGTCAAATATTGAATGCAGCAGATCTTCCAGCAGTAGCTTCAACTTCTCTTCCTACTCCTACTGCAAATTCTGGTAGCAGTAGTGGTTGTAATAAAAGCGCTGTTTGTAGTACTAGTAATATCATACCAGATATTCAGGTGACACAAACTCCAGCTCCTACCATTGAGATGCATTTTGCTCAGTTTGTTCCTTCTGGTATCAATTATTTAGAAGTATGTCTTATTTTTCTTGCATCTTGAAACGTTTGTTAATATTTCATACATAAACGTGAAAGAATTCTGTGTTACTGTAATATTGCGCCAAAATTTCAAGGAGGATTTTTTCATGAAAATGGCTTATATGGCTTTCTTCGTTAAGTCTAAAAACTTTATTGCATGGAGTAGCATCTCATTTATCTTTATTGCAGCATTTTGGATTTGACTCAAATAAAATAAGATCATCTTCACCAGTTAATCCAGAAGCACATCCGTATGCAAGTGCTCTTGCGGAGTTTCAAAAAAGGGCACTGAAAAGAAAAGGGTCAGAAATAAATTTAGAAGATCTGCAGAATGTGCAAGAGCCGGATGATGAATGTGCCTGGTTTGGTAAGTTGCATTGGTTTTCACTTGTGTTTGTATATGTTGAAATTGATTAGTTTTGACTGCAAAAAATGTACGAATAAAATGTATTTGTAATTTCATATATAGCCACTGAAAATTGTCTTGTTTCTTAGGTCGAAGTGTAGCAAGTGCGTTACGTCGACTGTGCCTAACTTCTCCACTCTCGGCACTTACTCTCAAAAAGCAGATTTCTGATCTTATATATGAAGCTGAAATAAAGCAATTGATCCGTCATCGAAGAACAGGGAATTCATAAAAATTTCATTGCGTACTTAACATGTGAATAGAATAAGAGATTGAGAAGTTAACAGAAAATTGCTCTTAATTATAGTAAATATACAAATTCTAAGTTTCATTTCAGTTGTGCCAAGTGAGTTGGGTTCTTTATAGTGACTAGCAGAAAATCTTGAAATTGAAACTTTATTTCTCATGTTTATGGTTCGGCAATATTTACTTTATTCGAAATACATGATTCGAGATTGAAGTTTATGCATAGTCAGCAGCATAGTGACTCTTATTTTATTCATGACTTTTGCCATCTAAGTTTTATCGCATGAGCTTATTATTTGGATAAGGGTATTTTTCGAGCTGAGAAAGCTATATTTGTCACGTTGTTATCGTCGTTGTTATGTGATATGAAGTGAATGCAGAGACGGATAATATTTTTTGCTGTTGATGTTTACAAAATTCATGACATAATTGCGCTATTTTCATGTTAAACCGGAAATAATCATAGAAAATTAAAAAAGAATTATGCGTTGTTATTGAATGAAGGTGATCACTTGTATATGGTTTTTGGTGTTACATATCTGTGTTGCTGTATAAAAGTGTTACAAGTTTTGATATTGCGCAGTCAAGGAACAAATTTTTGACGTCAATTCTTAGCTGAACGTTGTTCTAGCTTAAAATTGCTGTTATGAAGTGATTAAATTTGTTGTGGAGAATCGATGGTTTCTCAGTTCATGACTTGCAAAAGGATTTTCTCATCTTCAACATCAGTAAAGGAGAGTTGTTAACTGCAGTTTTGCAAGAATGAAGCTATCGAAGCACGAAGACTTGCATTTTTTTCATAGCAGATTAATAAGATGCAGTAAATTGCTAAATATGATTAACTGCAACTGAAGTATACAGTTAAGTGAGAATCTATACTTGGCTTATATTTCGAATATATTCGTTAATCACCTCTGCTAGAATTTTGGTTTACGGTATCATTTCATTTTATATTTTCTAAATATTTATCAAAAAGTCATATCGTTTGAAGTGTTTGTTTGTTCGGCAAACGAAAGATTTATTTCTTCAGTGTTTAATTATTTATTTTTCTAAGAATGCAAAAAAGTTTTTCCATACAAATATTGAAATTAATGATTTTTGCTTTCAAATTTGTACTCAAAAACACTTTGCATTCATTTTTTATAGCAAAATTTAATGCCAGAATATGTTTTATACGCTAATTTTTCTATTTACAAATAGTCTTAAAATAAAATCTATCAATAATTTGTGAAATTTTTTATAAAATAAAAAAGTAAATATTTGATATTTTTTATAGACATTAAAAAAAAAAATTCATCTTAATAGTTGCAGTTGACAGCATTTTTGTTAATTTTATATTATATTTACAATTTGATTAATTTTATGCTATATTTTTTACTGCATTTTTACTTTGTTCACAAATTTGCTTAATGTAATGGCAAACGTGACACTTCACGTTGTATTGTATTTGTTTAAATCGAGTTTTTGACTATTTATAATGTCAATAATACATGGCATTGAGATGTTTGATATTCTGTGATATTTTTCAAATTCTGCATACATTTAGTAGTTATTAGTTTCTAAATTTAGTATGAAATTTGTTTTGTTTTAAATTTTATTCACAATTATCATCAATAAATTAATTAATAAATAATTAATTAATTATAATTAAAACTAAAATGTATAATATTATTAGTATAGTTTAAAAAAATAGAAAGCAAAGT